GTCTCGATAAAGCCATCTTTAAAAAAAAGAAATCGTGCATTAATTTAGGTTACCATATTGTTTGTATATCTATTTTTTCTGGAAAGCTTTTAGTACATTCTGAAAATTTTTTAAATACTGTCATTATAACTACTATCAAAGATTGAAGAGGAAAATTTTATAAATGAAAGAATAGATATTAGTGGAAATGCTTTCGTAAATTGATCACATTGTGATCAGTTTTTTTTTGAAATTAGTAAAATTTCGAACTATATAAAAGTTGATTCTGAAATTGTTGATATTGTGTAGCACTTTGAGGGCAATTGTTTTTGGCTGGTTGAAGCGGTGCAATAAGCGATAGTGCAAAACAGTTAGAAGGTGGAGAAAGGATGTTTTGAAAACCTATGTGAAAGTGATTAATTAGCAAGAATTAGAGGGATTGTTAGAAATGTGGAACACCTCGTGTTTTATCATCAATTCATCCAAAGTTGTGCCCTCTTTGCAATGCCCTCTTCTCTTTCTTAAAGCTATACATATAAACTAAGCATTGTTGCTCCCTTTCTCTTTTACCCCTTACAAACAGATCCTTTCCTTGTTTAATCGGCCATTCATTGAAAAGCTCCGACCAAAACAATGAATGCATCATTTGTTCCTCATTTCTTCCACCAATCTCAATCACACATACACTCAATTTTCGCTTTTCATATTTTAATAGAATTAAATTTTATCAATATTTTAGATTTTCTATGGCTCGTTTGAAATATTTCTGGAAAATTTTCAAGGATATGTCAAAATTGCTTAAATTACAATCTGTATCTTATCTTTTTTTGAATCGTTAATAGATACATGAGTTACTCTGAATATCTTCAAAAACATTCAGGTATTAATTTTCTTGAGTGCTTATATTTGATATTGAATATTGAATTTAATTAAAATTAGAAGAAGAAATATATCTAAAATAATATTGATTATTGCATGAAAAACAGCAGACTTGTTTGCTTCATCACTTGCAAACTCATACTTTGAAAATATTTACCAGTGAGACATTACAGACAGGTTGGATTACCTGTAATTGGAGTTGAAGGCTAATTTCCAGCTCTTTAGGGCTTTTTTAATTTTTACAAATATGTAGCAATATTCAAATGACTGAATTGAAATCTTAGGACCTATCCATTTAAAAAACAGAGTTTTCCGCATTCGAGCTCGTTCACAATTTTCCGAAATTGAATAATAATTATTTTTCTAGTAAAAATAGACCATAATATTTGCTAGCTTAAAAAAATTACGAATATTCCATATTACTTCAATTTTAAATATGAAAATTTGAGACTTTTCGCACAAAACCGTCAAAAATGAATTCGTCCTTTTATGGAATTTATTTTTTTGTCATATTATTTTTTTGATGCTTATATGCAATTCAGTGAAATAATTGCAATTTGATTACTTTTAAGTTTTCAATTTCTTCCAATGTTTTTCAACCCTATAATCAAAAACTGATTAAATCTGATAAGTTAGTTAAATTTGTTAAGGAAATGAGAAAGTCTTGTGTAAAAGATTTCTTAACTTAAAGTATCATTCACAATCCATCTAGTCATGTCACAGATAATTCTATTTTAGCAAATCAACACGCGGCGCTTATTTCATTCTTCTTTGACGATTCCGGTTATAAATTGTGCAATATTCTAACACGAGCCATTATGGTGTCAGATTGGCTTCTTTTATGTCATTCCACCGTTATCTTTTGTAGGATAAGCCCAAAGCATAACTAACCAAATAATATTCATTGTTGTAAATGATCCTTTAACAGATACGAAGAATTTCTCAATAGTTATTGGGAGAAGAGAGCGAGAGGACGGCACAATTAAAACGAATAAAATGTAATAGAGCTAGAATAAAATAAGAAGAACAAGAATAGAATATATTTTCATATCTAAACATCGGTACAAATAACAGCAAAATAGAATTTTTCATAGAAATGGTGAACATGATTAGCACTATAATGGATAACATGCTTTCATTCGATTCAGTTCTCCTATTCTTTCTCAATACAAAGACGATTTTGATTGAAATACAGGCAGGCAATGCATGATGCGCTTAATGTTGCATTCATTAAGGATAGCCATCATTCAAACGGTGGAAGATTTCCTTCTCTCTCATTTAATTCTTCCTGAATTTCTTGGGTTTGGGTTGTTTTGTAAAAGTTGATTGAATAAAGATTTTGTCCATTCTGATACCAATAATATTTGATTGCATGCACTCATTATTTGAGTTATTAAAAATAACATTAAATTATATCGATGTTTGATCCTTAAATCTTTTTTTTGTCTAATTTTTAATATCTTTTTGACGTGTGGAATTACACTTGTAGGTGACGGAAACTTATAATTTTCAATTAGTTTGACAAGTTTTCTTTTTTGTGTTCATTAAATTTTTTTTTTGATCAAATGGCTGATGTAGAAGATTCATCGGATAGATCAGGATTTGGATATTCATTAATATTAGTGGCAGGAAAACGTAAGAAATGAAATATTTTCCAATGAAGCTGATTATTGAAGTTTTATACAATTTGTGTTCAGAATTCGATTTGACCTTAAAATTATATGATATACACAATATCAACAGCTCCAGAACCAATCTTTATATATTTCAAAATTTTTATGAATTTCAAAAAAAGTGATTGCAACTTGACATGATCCACAAATCACTTTTCAATTCGAATTTTTCTTTATTTCAATCAAAAGAAAAAGACAATTATGGCTTCATATACCATGAATTAGAGAATTAAAGAGATGAGAACTTTTGGATTGAAGATAATTGGTATCTCTAAACATATCGAATCTCTCTTAACCATTGTTAGCTACAACTGTGGGTAGATAATTAGCTGGCATTAATTCCAAAAGGTGCCTCAAATTGTCCTTAGTTATGTTCAGTTTACTTCTTTTTTCATTTCTTAATGCAAGGGATGCAGTGGATTAAGAAAAACGCGAACATTTTATTGCCTTATTAAACAAATAAGCATTATGATAGCATTTCATTAATGAATATTCAAAATCTTTGTTCTTTTTTTTCATCTCTGGATTGAATAATAAGTTATTAGCTATTCATTTGAGACCCAATGTTTTTTTGTGTGATATTATTATTGTTTTGAATCCATATAACTTGTAATTCGCTTTTTTTTCATTTCAAAATATATTGCATGTTTTTTTTCAATCTTTATTGAAAAGTTCCATATTTGTGTTATAACTCATTTTTGTTCCTTTTATAGAATGTATAGGGCAAGTTATTTTCATTTACTTTTTTTTGATTTATTTTTTAAGATTTTAAAAATGATTCCAAATTGAGAAGCGTTTGAATTGCTTGTTGTTTTATTATGACGGTTGAATTTCCTCGATTTTGAATGCAAAATCAAGTTTTATTATTTCTATTAATTACTCTGCTTGGTTTCCATTATTAGATAATACGGGGATTGATTCATTTGAGATTGAATGGTAATGGATTATATAATTTTGAAAGCATACGAAAATTAGAATTTATCATTTGTTTTTTTTGCACGAACATAAATCATAAAAGTTGACTTGATTTTATCGGTGGTTACTATAAATGATTAATTTATTAGAATTATCGCGTGACATCAAAACTGTTGATTGTGCAGTGAGGGAGAACAAATCAAAAGGAAGAAAGAGAAGGAAAGGAGATAATTTTCAGTAAAGACGTAAACTGATGAATGCTCTTACACGTCTATATGAACCTTAGAAATCCAGAATAGGAGTGTTTATGTTGGTCTATAATGATAATACCATTATGGAGGAATAGTTGATAAAGTTATAAATAAAATGGATGACTGCTTATGCAGGTGTACGGTGTGCTTTCCCGATATCTTTCTAGATGAATCCATTGCGTGTCACCTCAACATCCGGTAACAAGTGTTCAATTGCTATTAGCCTAATGCTTTTTCCTTGTTCAGTCCTACCCTCTTCTCATCTTCAGCCAATTTCATTCCCACTTTATTCCTTTAACTTCCTTTTCTTTTTTTTAGCGATAGCCTTCGACTCGATTAACATTCATTTATCGGTTAGCATATCTGTTAGTTTAGTTAGTCATCTCACCCTCACTCATTATATACTTTTCTGTATTTCGCCAGATTGGATCAGTAACCAATTGTGAATTTGATTTATGCAACATTCTTTTTTGTTTTCTAGAAAAGTACTTATTTCCGCCCATCATTTCTCTCAATCATAACGCCATTTTGTGCAGTTGGTTGTCGGTTGTTTTGATATTATTTTCTTACTGCATTTCGATTACGCTTTGTAAGCCATCTGTGATTTCGCTCAAAGGTAGTTAGCGCCTTCTCTGTTGCGAGTTTGTTTTTAGTTTTCTGTCCCTCAGGTAAAGGTTAATTACAATTATTCACTACCAGGTAAGAAACAAATTTCTCTTACGCTGTCACTTCTTTTTCGGACACACATTCGGAATTTCCAAAAATATTAAATATATATCTTGCTTATTATTTAACTTCTTAATATAGTTCCTTACTTCTGTTAATATTTCTTCACTCCGAAATGCTTTACCATTGTTTTACTCAACTCGCCAAGTTCATTATGTCATTTCTTTTCAAACTTTCCTTCCCCACAATATTTGAAATTACTGAAGAATTCATTTCGGATATTGTTGTTATTGTTAATTTAATATTGTTGTTGCTATTAATTTAATATTGTTGCTACTAATTTAATAGTGTTGTTAGTATTAATCGTTTTGTGGAAAGTTCTTGCGCCTGATAGCTAAATTATAGAGTAAATTTAAATTTTAAATTCGATATTTTACATTGCTATGTTGTATAACCTATCGCATTGTTTTCTTCTCATCGTCAAATTTGTATGAATGTTCAGTAAAAACATTGCTGTCATATATCTTCAGATTTGAGATGTCCATAATAACTAGAAAGCTTCATTTTTCCAAACGCGAGAAGTTCGCCCGAGAAAAATAAAAATTTCAATTTTCTGCTTTGAAAATTTTCTTGCAAGATGTCTGGCCGTCGTAAGACGATGCCAACAAGACTTTTGGAAACTGTGGAAACATTTTATCCAATAACAGCTGTCGAATCGATACCAAGCACTTCAACTGCTAGTGGTGTTCAAACAGTTAAGGGTATTTTATTGATGACGGAACCAACTACACCGATGAAAATGTCCACAGAAGAGCTTATTTTGGACGATATTGTTAAGGTAATCATCGTAAATTTCTAACGTATTTCATAGTTAAATATTATACTTTTTAAGCTTTTAAATCGAAGTAAGAAGAGCAATTTATCAAATTTTTCAGCAGGAAGAAGTGACTAAACATCGTACTACAAACGAGTTCACATCCGTTTCATCACCTCGAAGACAGATTGATTCATCGAAGAGCGATTCTTCAAGCATTTCTGAACATACCAGGTTTGTATTATTAATATATCATGAGATCACTCATTTTATTCTGAACAAATTTTATGCTGAAATGAAAATATTTGTTCATGCATTTAACTCACACTGTTTCATTTCTCCACCAATTCTGTGGTATATGAACAGATAAACACACAATTCCGATATTCGAACCGCTAATTAATCAAGAAATCTGTGGGTTTAGCAACATTTTCTAGTGGTTATACACTCTCTAGATCTTCGTGTATTATCTTTTTTGTGACCAATACTTACGGACCAAAATAAATGTCTTCAATTTTAAAAGTCATATGTTGAGATTTTAAGCTGACCAACAAGTTAGACTTTAGGCTTCATTGTTTTAACTTCATTTCTAACCTTTTTGACATTAATTATTTTTACATGAGCAATAGGAAGAATTCGAATTGAAAATTTTTGGATGTCATGAGTTCCAGATTGAATTTTAATAGCAGTATTTAAGAATAAATAATTGGAAGAATTTCGGCTATCGTTTTATGTTTCAGAAAGAGATTTTGAAATGTCAGGAATTTTTGTTGCTCTGATTTCATTTCGTCGTTTGTAATTTAGTCTAAACCATTGTATTCAGTCGTTTACTGACTATTTGAAATTATTAGTCTAATTCAGAAAATCGGGGATCTAAAATTCTAGAATGATCTTATCTGACTCTGACTTGTGAAAAGATGATGAATTTACAATTGGTAGCTTGCCGTTATTTTTTATATTTATTTGTTTCTTCAACACTTCTAGCACTATATAGTGATTGTTACAACTCTTACCAGACAGGAGGACTTGAAAGTTTGGAAATAAATAATGTGCATTGGGTGGAGCCGAAAATTAGTAACTTCGCTAATCATACCTTCTGGAGAATTCAACGGATTCATAATTAATTTACTGTTCATAACTCTGTTGAGTATATGCGCGAGTATTTTTCTGACTATATCATTTGGCAACTCTTTGGAATACGAGAAATTTTAAAATGTCGTAAATTCCCAACTTTTTCGATATATTTTCGAAAAAGGCATGCATTTTTTTTTTGGTATATTTGTTTCTCTCTTATTGGGCAATTTCTCTTCTCTGCGTAATAGTTATTTGAAATTTTGCATTCAGGATATTTATCATTGATCATTTCCTGATAAAACTGAAACATTTCCCATTCATTTTTTTGTGCCTTTCACATTGCTTTTCATTGGTATCTGATTTTTTTCATGCGATCTGGTATTTTTCGGAGTACGAGAAGAGAAAATGTATCGTATCGATGGTAATTGAATGTTGTTTTATACGGAATCCGTTCATTGAATATCGCTGATGCTGCAATGATGAGAGTTTTCCGCATGTAGATGAAAATTTTATTCCTCACGCAACTTATAAGTTTACATGCTGAAATTAGTTGGGAAAGATGAAAAAGATGTTTTCTTTATCGGCTAAATCGATAATGCGTAAGTCACATCGTCCTTTAAACAGTCTTTTTTTTGAGAACGTTACTTTTATTAGTATCTAAGATGAGTTTCAGTTTTACACCTGTTTTCTTAAATTTTAGCATTGGTTGGTATATTCGCTGAGTTACCATAAAGTCTTAAAATCTTAACATTAGTTAGTAGCATTTGCTGAGTTATCACAAAATGAAAATTACTGATAACGATATCCCACACAACACAAGTGTAAAGAAATTGTTATGTTTACTGTTCCGAGTAGTCAGTCAGTATCTTATCCGAATAATTGAATTGTATATTTGTTATTGCGTACTACGAGACCATTCTAAGACTCATCTTTATTGATAATGATATGTGCGCGCGCTGATAAGAGATAGTGAGTGACATATAATGTGGCGGTTATTATCCACTCAGTTTAGTCAACCCGAGTTTTGCCATTTCTAAGCTTTGATAAAAGGAACTCAAATTTATGGCAAAAATTAAAATTAAATCTGCTATTAACTTCGGTTTTATCATTTTGCATTAATAGGGCTTTTTTCCTTCTCAACATAACAACCTTGTATCATCTGTGATTTCTCGAATTATTTTGAACTCATGGTAAAACTAGGTCATTTCATATCCGTCTTTCATATCTCTTCATATCCCTCTAAGGTTCAGGAAAGGATTTAACCAAGCGGAGCTTTTTTGTAATAATGAAGTTCAAGCAGTTGTTATAGCAACTCTGTTAGCCGTCACAAAAACATTTTGACCAGGTGCATCGTAGTAAGTATGCAGTTGCATCATCCATAAGTATGAAGCCACAATAGAGGTAGAACAGATTAAGAAGAAACAAGAAAAATTACCCTAATGCTCTCTTTTTTTCCTATTTAGTTCAATCACTTGAAAGAACAGGAAAAAAAAGAAAAAGAAACAACGATAGCATTGATTTATCTTTGGCGTCGAAACATTGACGCCAATCTGATCACTTTATTTTCCTTCTTTTTTTCATGTGTTTGGCTGCGTTTGTATGTGGAATAAATACGGCAAATAGTACAGTAAGCATGTTCTACAATTGTCATGCATTGTATTTGATCAATAGATCAAGTCATCGATAATTTTGCACAGTTAAGAAGCTGATAATGCTTGAAAAACTTTTCTAAATAACATATGCTATCATTAGGAACCTTCTGAATTCTCCGGTCATCAGGTCACTGATTACTTATCTTCCAGCACGTCAGGTTCAGCCGGAGTGACGGATATCCCGGATATCTTGGCACAAACGGAACACGGATGCCGTGTGCTAATTGATGGTCACGCACTGCGTGAGGTTCTTAACAGCGTTAACACGTATGACGGCAAACGCGATCTCGTACAAGATCTTATTCGGCAGGTCGGAATTTTTCCATCCGGAATTTATTCTCTCGTGTTTGATGTAGTAAACAATATCTTCACTATTAAAAATTGCAAAATGCAAGTATGTAAGGATTATTTTCCTAACATTACTATGGAGTTATAGTGATGTTTTATTTCACAGCAGTAATTACTGAACTAGAAAATCCATTTATAAACGCATACAACAGCAAGATTGCTGAAACTATCCGTTTAACACGTATTGCATGATGGAGAAACGTAGCTCTCCGGAAGAGATTCATAATGATAACTGTGAGATCATTCTATTTAATCCTTGTTTTAATCAAATATGACTGATGAGAAGTTAATTTGTACAATCAAAACATTCTTAGATTTTTAATGCACCATAATTTTTTTCTCGTAGTAGAATAAGAGAAAAATTGAATGGTAGGAATTTGGTCCCAAAAAAAACATACACACACACACACACACACACACACACTACAAAAAGTTTTTTTTTATTTTGGAAAAATCGAATGAATTGGCCTTTTTTTTGCAACCTTTCGCAAAATTTGCAATGATTTATAGGAGAAAAAAATTTTCTATTGTTTTGCTACGAAATGGCGAAGGTTTTATATTGAAAGTTTTAAAAAAGGCAACGTCAAAATGGCTCCTTTTGTAGTTTTATAAAAAAAAGGCATTTTGATGCCTGTAACTGTCGGGAAGGCTACGTTAGCAAAGCAAACAACACAATTTTCTATTGCTTTGTTTAAAAATCTCATGCTACGAAGCCGTAACAAATAGGCGGTGTTGCGTTCCTATCTTGCCTCTTTTCTTGACCCTCACTACCCTTCCGTTATCAATTGTTTGGTAGTAATTGAGAAAATGGAAAAATAAAATTCAGGGATATTGCTGTTATCAGTTTATGCAGTTTACTTAGATGGTTCTGACTAGACGTTTTGATTCATTACTATGCCTAATGGTCGATAAGATGACTCATAAGCTTATTAATGACGGATGCAAGGCATTTATGAATCCGGAATGGGAAAAAAGTTTAAGGGCAATGGAATATCATTTATTATCATTATTATGTCCAGTTTGAACAATCCGATAAGTATGATATCTCATCGTTTGGATCAACCTTACCTGAGCTGTAGAATTTGACGGTGGCGTAAATTTCCACATCCACCTTTCCAATAATTATCATTGCTTATCATTGCTATAATCGTTTTTAAGAACATAAGCAAGCTTACTAGAAAGATCGGAAAAGATGCATTTTCATTGAAAATTAGAATTATTCTGTTACATTTGTCATTGTATGCCAAAATTGGCACTCACTAATTAAATGAATTTCAGAACTATTAGATTAATTTTTAGATGAGGTTTTACTTTCAAATTTTAGCTGAAAGCTGTTAAAGAGCGTTTAAGTTGTGGTGAAATACATATCAGTAAAGAGGATATTGAAGAGACAAGTCTCAAAGATACGGACGAATTGGTTGTGGAATCTAAGGAACAAAACTGTTTCCAGGTAGTACTATTATTTTTATAACGTGAATTACACGAAACACTTACCTGGCCATATTTCTCGGATCATCCGTTATTATCTCTATTGCTTACGTTTGGATTATTGGGCAACGTTTCAGACGTGTTATAGTTTGCTTTGATTTTGTTGAAATTTGCATAAGTAAATTTAATTATACCAAAGGCTGAGCACAGTACACTTAAACATGCATACATCTATAACATATATGAGGGATAAAAAAGACGTGTGAAAGTGGGTGGGGCATTTGATTGGATGGTTGCCTACTGGGAATAGTTGGAAAGTGCTTCCAAAAAGATTTAATACGGTCAAGCCGGGCGGAGGGGGGGGGGGAGGGTTGAGCCAAGCAGAGGAACCCAATCTTTCTTCTGCCTGGTCTGTTAGTCTTATTCAGCATCTCATTGTTAGACACCGTATTATTATTAGAATTACCGTATATTTACCTGTAGTATATATGCATTTGATGAATTTCCACATATTAAGCCGCTTTAATTCATTCCGTTAAGCCATCATTCATTGAATTGTATGGTTGCTAATTCGTATAATTATAGATTTTTTTCTCATATTTTAATTTTAAACAAGCAAGAAATGAATAATAAAATGTTTGAGAAGAAATTTAAGTGAGAAGTGAGAAAATGGATGAAGGATAAATTCTTCGAAAATTTCAAAGTGTGCTGAATAGGAATGATCTGTATGAAACAATGAGAATAGCAATTTATGATGTATCATACATAATAATTATTTCATTATAGAAATGGAAAATTTTAGGATGAAATTAACTACAACATTTGCCAACAAGAAAATATGGATAGTTCAGCTTATCTTTTATTTCCACTATTTGCAGAAAATGTCAGCTGGTAACTTAGATGAATTGATGCTTAGGCAACAATACCTTATCCAACAACAACAGAATCAACAACGATTGCTGGCCATGGCATCTGCCCTTCATGTTGCGCAACATTCCAGTGCTGTACGACTAGGCTGCATGTTACCACCTGGTACCATTTTTTTTTATTCTAAACTTAAATCTTTGTGAAAGTGCTAGAAATTTATTCTGCAATTATAAGCGTTAGACAAAGAGTGTAATTGATAGATAAATTAAAGGATTAAAGATTGCTGGTAATTACTGGGCCAATTAGAATTTGGGGTTTTTTTTCGGATTGTTGTGATCGAAGCTGATGATTTATTGTTTAAAAGTTATTTTAGGTCGAAATTTTTTGACTCATAAGTTAGGTGGTAATTTTTGCACTTGAAAAAATTGAATTCTTATATGCAATGACATATTTAATATGACGCTAAATGCGGAAAGTTATTCAGATTAGTTGGCTTAATTTGAATAATAAATAATTTTTTTAACAGCAACATATGGACAATTTCTGAATGGAACGGCACTTGGGAACGATTGTGGTGTCCTAACAGCGGCAACAGTACTTTCCCAAGGTGTCAACAGTCGAATGAATAATGTGACCAATCATTTGGGAACAACGGGAGTTGATTGCACTGATAGAAATGGTTGTGAAACACCGCTGAATTTGAGCAAAGTTAAATTGAAAAGGCTTGTTTATTCCAATATTATTTTTTATTTGTAAACTTTTAAATTTTGGCAGAAGAAAATTCCACATATAATTCATGTTTATAAATCAAGAAATCAGATTTTTATCGCTAAAGTTAAGGATATAATCATTTTATTTTGGTTAAAAGTTAAAATCGATAAAATAATTATATCATTAGCCTTTGATGATTAGAAAAAAGAAACGAAAATGAAGGAATAATGATCAAATATTTAGCAATAGATCGTTTATTACTTTATCATGACATTCCTAACTTTTTAACCCCGATTTATACATCAGTTAGATTAAAAAAAGATTTTGAATTACATGTTTAGCGATGGAATTTGATAAGATATAAAATGAATTTTGAGCTTTGAAACGAAATCTTTTAATACAGTCAATCATTGGCGTCTAAATTGCTAAAAAGTTGGAATCCAATTTACCAAGAATACATTTATTTTTATTGATTGTTCTGTGGATTAAATTAATTGAAATGGGTCCAGAGGTATTGTAATTTTGTATCCCAGTTGAAATGATGAAGTTTCTAGATTTTAATTATGGATACTTAACATACAGCAATTTGTAGCCAAGTTTTTTCATTGTTAAATTATGTAATTCAAATGAAATCTAACAAATTTTTTTTCAGTCCCATAGATCATTCCAAGGCACGCAAAGTATCATTGCTAGATAGTAATATCAATTCAAAAGCATCAAATTCACCATCTGAAATTCTTAACCGATTACCTTGCTCTTCGATCTCACATTCTTTTGCCTCTGAAAGTAAGTGAATTTTCAGTAGTGAATTAGAGTGTACGATGATTTATGTTTTTGTTCCGATCTTTGATGTTGATATTTTGCGCTATCATTGCAGTTAGTCACTCTGTCCTTAATGTTTATCAGTCCATTGCAAACGGCAGCAGTAAAAGAATTCTCATGAACTGACACGTCTCAAATTACAATCTATTGAAAAGCATTTATAATTTTACTTTTTTAGCATCAGCTTTCACTAGTCACTCACCAGGTTCATCAGGCCAAAGCACACCTGGAGGTGTGATGACCTCAGAGAGTATTCCGGCTCGAATTCCTGCCAAATCACCGAACCATATCAAACGTCCTATGAATGCCTTCATGGTCTGGGCACGTGACGAACGGAGGAAAATCCTGAAGGCTTGTCCAGATATGCACAATAGCAATATTTCAAAAATCCTTGGTTAGGTTTTAAAATTGTTAATCTGGATGATAAAAAATCAAAATATATTAAAATCAGTTTCTTATATATGCCGGTTAAATATAATCAATTTTGAAAATCACAAACTTTCTTAAAATTTCGATTTTTAAAATCTTTTAAATATAGGATCGAGATGGAAAGCAATGTCTAATACTGAGAAGCAGCCATATTACGAAGAACAATCCCGACTGAGCAAATTGCATATGGAGCAACATCCGGATTATCGTTACAGGTCTCATTTTTTTCGTTAAAAAATTTCAATCTTTTCGTTGAAAAGACTCAAGACTTAAGAAGTTTTACAAAATATCATGTTCCTTTTGGTTAATATCAAAAGGAAATTGTAGAATTCTGAAGCTTGAAGATTACAATTTTTATGTGTAACTCTCGTCATTTTCAGGCCTAGGCCAAAACGAACATGTGTGGTTGATGGAAGGAAAGTTCGTATCAATGAATATAAAAATTTAATGAGGAACAAAACAGTGGCAAATCCAGTTGGTACCACTGGTTGCTCGTCTGCTACCAATGAATGGAGCAATGATGTTGATCAGTGTGGGGTAGCTATGAGTCCTGAAGTTGGCTCCGGCCAATCTTTGGCAGTGAACACTAATCCACTGTCAACAGCAACAGCAATGGTAGTTCCCGAGAATAGTAATGGTACTACCACACATTCTCCATCATTCTCATCCGTCGATTTTGCCAGTCTTAATGGCGCCACCGTGCTCACCGATTTAGCCCATCATCATCATTGCCATATGTTACAAACTGCTGAATAACACATCGTATCGTCCTACTCTATTTCATCACCGTTTCAATTTCTCCATATTTGGCGTCTATTTTTGAAGCATTTTAATTAACTGTTTGTTTCTATAGTGAAATTCGATTCACTTAGTCATTCAGACTAATTCTCGCCAACTTCAAATATTTAAAATATTTTTTGAAATATTTGAAGTTGGAGAGAATTAGAAGGTTTTGTTCAACTTCCTATTAAAGACTAAAATTACAGAACAGTTATCAAAAATAAGTTGACCTTTATTTAATAACTAAAAGGCACCAAAATCTTATGAAAAATTTTTTATGATTGAAAAAAAGTCCAAAATATTGGAAATTTTTTTGTAAAAAAAATTCAATCAAAATTTGTTAGTATTACAATGTTAACACAGAAAGTACATATAAACAAATTATTGATCAGAAGAGTAAGGTTTGATAAAAAGTGTAATTAACATGCTGTACTGTATATAAATATTTCTGTGTTACAGTTGTTCTATTCCAATACAATCTTCACTAAAGACACTCATCCATTTATCAAATGTTTAAAATATAACGGCGATAGGGAAAGCTGCTATCGCTTCTCTAAGTTTTTTAAGAAAAATCAATAATTTTGAATAATTTTTATCATTTTATGTTAAAATCATGGTTTTTGTGTATCACTTGGTTCTACACTCCATATCAATAAGCATTTCATTCTTCTCAACTTTGTTGTGATCCTAATTTTCAGTCTTTTTTTCTTAGACTTTGATGTTTTCAAACCTAGCCTGTATTTCATTTTTTATGTTCTCTTATACGTATTAGCCGATGTTCTTTTTTTCTTAGAAAATGGCTTAGAAATTTCATCATATTTTGACCTTTTCTCTACCTAGTCTTTCTAATTGTATATTATTTATAATCAGAAATAAAGTACACTTTTTAAATCTCTATGTTCTCGGAAGTCACATTTTTAGTCGTACTGTAATGCCAATGTAATAATGCTTTTTACTAACCCTTTGAAAATTTTTGAAAGAACTATGGAAATTTTTGCACAACGTTTTGTGCAACACAAGAAGGATATCCAGTGACAAATAATGTATCCTTGCATAAATATCCTTCAGCTCAGGTCAGCGATGAAATCGTCTCATTTTCCTCTTTCAATTTCAAATGAAACCAAACTTACATGAATAAATTGTAATGTAAGAAGAAGAATTTGTCTTCTATATATGATTAATCCAAATTAAGTAAGTTTCATAGTTCATCGCTGATTACTGTGGCTAGAATCATGCCAAGTAACAAAAACTTCAATAATTTGTATTGTCTGAAGGATGTGACGAAAGAAATTCAACCAAATCTCGAAATTTAAAACTGTCAACCGGTATATTGGAAAATTTAACAACGACTATTGATGGACGTTATTTAATAATGTTTATAAGTTTTATGGTACTTACTTTTCATGACCTTTATATTAAACAATGTGTTCGGTTGTGTATATTTCAGGAATTCAATATTATTTATGCAAATCTTCAACATTTTTTTAATTTCAGAGCTTCTTTTAATTTATATTTAGAAAAACACTAGATAGCATCTAAATGTGGTATAAAATATGATGGTTAAGGAAAAAGTGTTAGTTTTCAAGTTGAGGTTTTGACTCTGACCGAGATCTGAAATCAATTTTAAACTGAATAATGGAGGACAATTATTGGAATTTGAAATGGAAAGGGATTTGCCTAGAAAAGCTTTAAGAGATCAATTGATTACTATCAAATGCTACCTTACTGTAATAATATAAAAGCAGAAGCAGTGCATATCACGAGATGTAGTATTGATGAGATGATATAAAGATGGATGTCGGAATATGAAGCTCCTCCAGATAGCGATCCCTCTCTAGCATTTAGCAAATTATGTTGTTGCAACCAAATGTCATACTGGTATGGCTCTTCCACAAAATCTGCGATATCTTTTGGTAAATCATCCACAACATGAATTTTCCAGCCCATATTATATGTTGAATAACTCTGTAACAGTTCCACTAAATGTTAGTGAAATTTTAAGATTCTTAAATAGTTAGGATTAAAAGTTACTTAAATTTGAAAATTCGAAGATTAAAACGAATGAGTGTATTTTTAATGCATGAAAGTTACTTGATAATAGAGAGTATCGGGTGTTTCAGCTGTTGGAGTGAAATGGAAAGTCGCTGTTTTAGATGTTTCAATGCATTTTAATTTAAGTGAACGTCGATACTCAATGAAACTGCTGAATTTATCAGCATCCTCATCATCTTTACCATCTTGTGACCACAAACATAGACGACCAGCTGTTTCATCCGGATTATGTCCAGCTACTATTTTCACTTGCTGCAATGCAGCTAAAATATTTTCTAAATAGATGAAAATTAGAATGAATTATGAGATTTGAATTCAAAAATACAAAAAATAAAAATGCAAATTTAATACTTCTCGTTCATCATTGGATAATTTAGCGTATCCACCAAACGGATCATCTGATATGTACAACGGATTGTAAAAATCGCTAGTGGATTTATCATTACCACCTTCAACACTGAAAACATCCATCATTACTAATGCTGACATACGCAAATTATCGTTGATTAAAAAGTGGGCTATATGAAAAATTTGTATTTAAAGCAATCCCCATAACACATGAAATAACTTTTTGTTGTTATGATAATCGTTTGTCGTTTATCAATAAATTTAAATTTATTTCCCATTAGAAATTACACATGCAAAAATAACGAAACTTAAAAAAATTTTCAAACATCCACTCTTCTTTATAGTATAAAAAGTGTGCAAATTTTATCAAAATTTACTTGAATGTATATGTAACACCACGTTTCAAATAAATATCAGCCAAATAGCCATTCACATACCATACATACTTTGCTGGCCTAGCATGTGCCATGAACTGTAATAGAAATCAAAGTTCTACTCGTTCATTTCAGAAAATTAATCTACAGTATCAGACAGCAATTCTCTGATTTTACAACTCTAATCAGGAAAGTAAGAAACTACCTGATAACCTCGTCGTCCACCAGGTGGCCCCAATTGAAATGTGAAGTTTAAACGATCGTCAGTTCCTAGTAGTGAAATTAATGGCCAACCGTCAATTTTAGAAAGTTCTATATCATCGAACTGAAAAATAATGAGTACAGTGACCGTCGGTCAGAGAGTAATTAAGTTATTTTAAGATATCGGAACTAGAAATGCAAATATAATAGTGTGAAAAATTTCAATTTGGTGTGAGGAATACGGGTGAAGGATTTGTAATGCAATTCTTGAATTTTTTTTTTCGGATATGTAAGAATTTGTTTCATCTCTTTTCTTTCAATTTTCAAATACTTTTAAATTAAAGTCATCAAAAAAATGCATAATTTATTGATAAGTAATTATCCCAGCACGAAAAATTATGCAAATAGTAAATAATCTTGGAGAAACTTCAATAATAATTTTGCATACAAAAAATCGACTTACTCGTTTCTGTGGTGGTACATAGGGAGGTATTCTTTGGGATATATTCATAATAGATACATGTCCGAAATCAACCCGAAATTTATAACAATAAACGGACAGCCAATCGATATGATTAATGTCATATTCTGCAGGTAAATCTATTATTATATCCTGTCCACCGCGATATCGCTCATTCATTGCAGTTATCCTGAAAACGTGAATAATTGCTTACTTATAAACTTTTTTGAAATCTGAAAATCTCGTTATATTCATTTTTTTAAGAAAATAAATAGCAGATAAAGATACCGAAACTCTAAATATTGCGATTAAAATTGTTATTAACATGAAATGATTAGCAAAATTATTATAAAGATATGTTAACACTTACATCCCCACAGTGTCTCTTCCACGTATCGGTACTTTGACTCCAGAATCGTGTGCAACATTCGGTCCTCGACCAACAAAAAAGTAGCCATCTAAAGCGAATTTAAGTTAGTGGATTAAAAATTTCAAGATTGTATGAAATTGGTAAAATCTGTTTGAAAATGCTACCTGGCGCTTTATCACCATCAAAGGTAAATCCGAAAATTTTGATTGTCCTTCTGTCAATTATTAAGATAGGCCCGGAGCCAACACTATACCGGCTACCATGTAATTCAGTAGCTAAAAACTGTGGTTTTGGCATAATCACAGTGTCCGGAATTGGGATTGTACCAAAGTTATGCTGAAACTTGTTAGCATTCTCTAAAGCAGAAATAATCACTGTCACAAGATTTATATTCCAATTTTTTAGAATTTTTCTTAAAAATAATCCCTTTTTTTAGAATTTAAACGAATTACTTATTTCTTCTGATTTCTGTATTCAAATTTTTACCGAAACTAATTTACACGCAACTAATTACCTCAATTTTAACAGGTTTACCTCGAATTTAAAGCAGAATAGAGAGAAACTTTTGAATGAGTTAATTTTGTGAAATCCAGGCAATACCAATACAACTCGCTTTGCATTCTTATACGGACCAATTGGAGCAATCCTGCAACGAATTACTTCCAATCACAGTAGAAAGATAATTTGTTGTCAAATTTTGTTGAGTCATAGTTTGACGAATTTAAATTATAAAAATAGAAATACCCAAATTCAAATGTTGGAATTTTGAGACCGCTAACAGATGGCA